CCTACTCAGGTGTGCATTAGAGTGAAAATTAAATAAAAAACAGAACGCAAAAGAAGGAAGCAAATCTGTGAATTTCCAGAACCAGTGAGATACTGAGCAAAGTTGAGCCATGGATATAGTAAGTGGGGGATAGTGAGGGAAATGAAGGAAGGATGAGAAGGAATTGGCCTGTTTGTCCCTAAAATCAGAAACCTGAAGATGAGGTTTAGTGTAAGAATGAGGCATGGACTCTCTTTCTAGCCATATTGATATTATTAGCAAGATGACTTAAGAAAACAAAATTCATATATTTGAACAACTGTTGAATAATACAATTGAACCAAAGTTTGAAATACCAAAACATTTATTAGGCTGGGCAAAACCAGTTTTTAACACTGGTAGTGTGTAGCCAGACTCTCTCTGCCTAGCCTCAGGGTCTTCAAACTATGGCCCAGGGGCCGGATCCAGCCCGCCATGCCCATTAATCTGGCCTGCCATACCCATTTGGACCCGCCATGCGTGCACCCGCGCCCACCTGCCGCCACGCACCTCGCCCTGTGTGTGGGAGGCAGCAGTTTGCTCGCTTGGAGAAAATGATCTCCAAGCGAGCAAGCTGCTGCCTCGTGCACCCACCTCATGGTGCGTGCCTGCCCCCGCCTCGCCTCCCCTCACCGGCATGCAAACCCACCTGCACCTCACCTCACCTCGCACACCCACACGCACCGCCCCTGCCGCTGCACCAGCCCGCGCGCACCACCAGCAGCACCTTTCTGGCCTGCGCCCAGCACTGGCAGCTTTCAACTGGCCCCCTGGTGGAAAAGTTTGAGGACCCCTGCCCTAGCCACATGTAGTCAAGTCAAAGAAAAGCAATGTGGCTGTGTGATTTTTTCTGAAGACCACCTCTGTGAAGACACAAAGACATCCAAAGATGGCTGGTTAAGTGTGACATTTCCCTAAGCTACTTCAAGTAAACTAAAGGGGAAAAACAGTGGGTTTATTTTATCTTTTGTAAACAGTATTTGTCACTGAATGACACAGAAAACTCCCCTAGGGAGGTTTCAGAAGGGAGAAAAGGAAAAGTGGACAAGTTTTTATTTCCTGCTATCCAGATACTTCTTCACAATATATTGCAATCCTGAACAGGGGTTATAGTTGGGTGCATATGTGCAATTTCTTCAGGTTAATACATCCTACCCATCTATTGGAGGTTTCAGGATGGAGGAAAAGAAGAAAGGAAGTTGTTCCTTTTCTCCCATTCTCCTTTCCCTACCTCCACCTCACGAAACATTCAGGTTTGGAGCTGGTAGCCAGTACAGAATGTGGGTTCCAGGGCAGAAGGTTTCTCCTAAAGCAGGGATCCTCAAACTTTTTCAACAGGGGGCCAGTTGAAAGGCGGCAGCAACAGGTGTGGGCCGGTGAGGTGGGGGTCTCCATGAGTACAGGCAGCTTGCTTGCTCGGAGATCTGCCAGCGAGTCCAAAACTATCTCCAAGCAAGCAAGCTGCTACCTTGCCGCCCACATAGGCGCGGCGAGGCAGGCGGTGATGGTGGGCACAAGTGCGGGGAATCCAAAACCTCTGAGGCGAGCCGGATAAATGGGCATGGCAGACTGGATCCGGCCTGAGGGTTGTAGTTTGAGGACCCATGTCCTAAAGCCTGCCTATGTTTACAATCCTTAAATAGTGTTATAAGCCTTCTGTTCCAAGCTGGCTAGAGCCCTGTACAACAGTACTACTCTGGATATAGCACAGCATCTTAAATTATTCTTGTTATTCTATTTATTTTAAAATGAGCATGTCTTTTCTTAAAACTTTCACAAGGCAGGATTATCATATCTGGATATTCCCAGTGAAAAAAAGCTATCATTGGCACTTTCCGTAATCCACTTAAACTGGCACCATCTTGTTACGGCAGAGGGGCTATTATGTGTTATCTATACAGGTTACAGACACAGTTCCTTATGGAATAAGTTCATATTTTCATAGCACTCCTATTTCCAAATCTGCCACTGGAGGAGCAATGGCTTTCACCTTTGCCTCCTGTGACCCTTCCTGGGCAAAGACAGCCTAGCCTCAGTTCTCCATACCATGCTAGGCTATGGAACTATGATATACTTGGGGCTACCTCTGAAAGTTCCAAATTCTCAGTTAGAGGAACTACAACTGTGAGAATGGTAACTGGGACCTGATGCTGAGAACATATCATAATAGTGTATTATTATTCTAATTAATTATATCTGCCCTTTGAACATTAGTCCTTATCAGCAACTCAAAAAATTCAAAAACAACGCAAACATCACATAAGCAGTAACAGTAATTTTTTTTTTTAAACTCAGTTAAAATGTTACGAAGACATCTATCTGCATTTCCTTCCAGTCTATGTTTGGGGTCAATTCAAAGTGCTGGTAGCTATTTTTAAAGGCTTTCCTTTCTCAATACTAGAGTATTTAAATGGACCTTTCTCCATATGAGTTTTCCTATGTGCTGAAGATGAAACTCAAATACTTCTCAAACCTAATGAGAAGGAAGGACTTCCTGGAGAAGAGCCTGATGCTGGGAACAATAGATGGCAAAAGAAGAAGGGGATGGCAGAGAATGAGGTGGTTAGATGGAGTCACTGAAGCAGTTGGCGTGAGCTGGAGTGGACTCCGGGGGATGGTGGAGGACAGGAAGGTCTGGAGGAATGTTGTCCATGGGGTCGTGATGGGTCTGACACGACTTTGCAACTAACAACAACAAATGTGCTGAATATTTAATGAACATGTAGCCCCTGAATTAATTTGGCTGTTGACTAAAAAATGTTCCCCATCACTCATTTAAAGAGTCAGTTTTAAAAATACTAGAATCTAAGGGGGAATGCTGGGAGTTTTAGGACCTTTGCTGTCTAAACATGCATACGATTATGCCTTTAAATGGTTAATCAAGTCTGGTTCCAGAATATATCTAAGAATAGAACTAATTCTATGTCAGCTTTAGAAAAGAATCTAAGTGCTGCATCCATAGTTACTCACATCCCTGGGTCTATCGGTCCAGTGATAATCAGCAGGTAAAGCTGGAAAATGCAAGGCAGGGAACTGTCAAATGTCTGGCAACCTTGCTGCATGGAATTTCATACTCTTGTTCTGGTTAGACTACATGAAACCAAATTAACAAAGTCTGGCTGTAGGTCCTTATGGGAACTTAAACACCATGGTGTCATTGCTGACTCTTCTCCTCCTCATAATGAACCCTTTCCTACACCCCACTCACTGTGGCTTAATAGAAGTGATCCCAGTGAACTCTCCCTCCACACTTCATGTCCACAACTAGCAGGCGCCTGACAATGTTAGCCATCCATGCCTGGTGTGCTAGACATCATTAGAAATATGTCTGTCTTAGATAAGCACAAAGAACGCATTGGTATGCTCTGACTCTCAAACGTATTTACAGCTTGGGACACCCAGCTTCACTCTGCCTCTGTTGGCTAAACGATCATCCTGTCTTCTTTTCTTTCCCTCCATGACTCACTGAAGTGCCATAAGCCAATCAGTCTAGGCAGCAGTCTAGCCAATTAATGTTTATTAAAGTAAAGGTTACAGTTAAGACAATGAAGCAAAGCAGTGAGTACTCACAATAAAGAAAGAAACCTATATCTGAATTCCAAAGTAGTGCCCTACCTTCATTCCTATACTGTATAATCTTGGGGAGCACTTGATTTACACCAGGGTTCCTGGTCATCAACAAAATGTCTAAAGTTGGTTAAAGATGAAAAACTGAAAAATGGGTATTATGCCATGTTTTATGCTGTTTGATCAGGGTGATCTCGATTGACAGTAGTAACTCTCCCAGCTGATGGATATAGGTTTCGTACATGTAGGATGGGTTCAGGAAAGGGGAACCAGTGCCAGAGTTTACCTTAAGCATGTGGGAATGGATAAGTAGGGGCTAGTCCCTTTCCTGCCAGACTGCTTTGTTTCTGGAGAATGGGACATGACTGGAAGGATGACTACTCTAGCCCCTATCAGGAAAGCTTTGGCAGGCTCAAGTTTATGGACACAGGGTTTATTTTCTTCCATGTTTCTTCTTTAGCAGTTATACAACAAGAGTAAGAATGACATTGTTCTTACATCATCCTGAGCTTGTCACGCACTTCTATTTCCATTTCCTCTTCTATACTATCTATGCTTCTACGTTAAATCCACTATCTAGGCACCTTTGGTAAACTTCTCCCCTCCATGGCTTTCCACAATGTCAGAGAAGGGCAAGGTCTTAGGAGGGTAACAAAAGTGGGGAGAGGATCTCTTATTTTTTCATTTTCTTTGTCCTGGGAAAAGATCCACTGGGGAGATTTCCATTTTCAGACTTACTTTTACCCCATCCACAAATGTCCAGTTTATTTTCAATTCCACATCACCCCTGCCCCCAGCATCACTCTAAGAAATATTTTGAATCTGCTGAATTAGGAACTAAGTTGTCATCTAAAGCTAAAAAGAGCTAAAAGTGGATCAACCACCAAAGGTTAACTGAACAAATGCTCAGCTCTGGGACATACCACTGCACTGTTGGTGTGGCATGTGTAATACTCTTGCAAACATATAGTCCATTTTTATTCCTGTGTTTTCCCTTCAAAGTGTAAACAGATGCAGAGGTCATGCCAATTAAGATTTTCAGCGCCAGAATAAGCTGGGTGGTGATGATACCTCTTATGTATCATGTCCGGCTGTGATTCCAGCTTGGAGCCCTCTTATTCAATGGGCACTTCCAGAGAGCAAGACGAAGCTGTTCTATAAAGGGGTGGGCAGCTTTGTACAAAATAGAAATCTGGAGGGCTGACTGACAGTCAGTATGTGATCCCCTGGAACAAATGTGTTTCACACACAGAGCGCCTCCCCAGCCTCTGGTTTCATTTCTGGCAGCGGACAACAATTCTCAGCTTCTCTCTCCAAGGTTATTATTGGACGAGGCTGCTGCCCCCGCTTGCAAAAGAACCTTTGGCAGCCCCCCTTGCGTCCTTGTTCAAAAAGGGCAGTTGGTTTGTTCAGCAGGACATTGTCGAGAGAGGAGAAAGAGCGGGGAGAGTAGCTGCGAGGTTCTCAAGCAGAAGAAGGCTGCTCCTGCTCCCTTAGACTTCGGGAAGCCACATTTCATCTGCGACAGATAAAAAAGAAGGGGGGGCCACCCACTTCAGTTATACGACGCCTAACGGATTAGGCGGGAAAGAGGCACTGTGGGGCCAGAACTCGCGAGCATCCGGCGCTGCGCTTCCTCGGAGGAGGAGGAGGACGAGGAGGGCGGGGCTGGATCTCTACCCTTTTCCCATGTGAGGCGCCCAGAACAGCAAGTTCAGCGCCGAGGGAAAGGGAGGTGAAGCCGGGGGCTCTGGGAGACGGAGAGCCTGCTGAGGGCGCGGTCGCCGCAGCACCATGGAGGGGAGCCCCATCCCGGTGCTGACCGTGCAGACGGTCCCGTACCAAGACCAGAAGCCGACGGGCGGCGGGGGTCTGAGGAGGCCCACGACCGTCTTCGAGAGCCAGCGCAACTACCTGCCCAACTTCGTGCAGAGCGTGCTCTCGTCCATTGACCTGCGCGACCGCCAGGGCTGCACCATGGTGGTGGGCAGCGACGGCAGGTACTTCAGTCGGACAGCCATCGAGGTGGTGGTGCAGATGGCGGCGGCCAACGGGGTAAGAGCGGCACCTCCCTGCGCGCCTCGCCGCTTGCGCGCCCCTCAGTGCGCACTGGTAGCCTCCTCGCAATGTCGGTGGGGCGGCGGGTGATTTCGCTCCTTTTCTAATACGTAGAAGAATACTGTTTAATCAGTTTCAGGAATCGTGAGTAGAGAACCAGAGGAAGAAGGTAGTTACCGTGGATTAAGTCACGGAAGCGATGTGAGCCCGTATGTGTAAATCGCGGCCGCTGTTGCTCCCAGGCTGACGTTGTGCACTTCTGTATGTCTCGCACTTGCTGTTATGCACCTCTTAAGCATCATGTACTACACATCTTGTACCACTTAATCTATTACTCCTCTTCACTCGACTCCTATATTTCCCCACCACCTCCTTTATTGTGATTCCCCCACCGTGGATCAAAGCCTTGGATATCCTTCCTATTCGCCCTGCACAGCAACACTTGAAAGAACATTTATCCAATAAACCAGTGGTCTGCCCATGTCCTACTTGTGCGTTTCCCACAGGCCACTCTGTGAACAGAATGTTGGATTAGAAGGATCTTTGTTCGATCTGGTATGACTCTTCATAGTTTCTTATGAAAGTAATTGAGTTTATTTTATGTAAAAGCCAGAGTAGAGCTCCTGGTAGCAGGACAGAGAGCAGGCAGAGCAAACAAATCAATTCAATGGTATCTGCTGGTCCCCATGTTTCACTCTGTTTTATTGTTTAAGGAAGGTGTAACTTCCAAGTGTAGGTTTTCCCTACCAACTAAGCCCCTTATTAACATCTAGATAACAAATATTTGTATATATTTCATTAATGTTCATCCAACTTTCAGTGCCTGTGTCATCAAGGAAAGTTGCTGGCTCCAGAACTAAAATAAGAGAATTGTTTCTTTTTGTGGAATATTGATGTAGCTAAATGTTATTTTCCAATAGTAGGTTCAGATCCAGTGCAGTCACCAGTAAAGCATACATTTTATATAGGGGGAAAAAGCAGTTAGTATTCATTCCTACCTATTTCTCCACGCTGAACTATTATTTTCTTCCACCTTTACTGCGGACATATTAGCTCAAAACTCTTATTTTACCCACCTATTTTATGTAGACTATCCCTAACATGCTAAATTCTCTTGTATTCTGTCAACTGCAGCCATGTATGGTAAATCCACCCATTACTTTTGGCCACTGTAATCCAGCTCTCTCTTTTTTTCCTGTATGCTATATCCCCATCTCTTCATCCCTCTGGATATTTTACATCCCTCCTCATATGTAAAAGGTGCAATACCTATTTCCTCACTTTGCTACTGTCTTTTACCTGCCATTACTGCATCTTTCATATGTATCTATCTACCCGAGACCTTTATCTACTTTGCCCACTTTCTTCAATTGCACTACCTTATTCATTACTCCCAGTCACTGTTCTGTCACACAGTTGTCCACCCGAACCCCTATTATTCTTCACTCATGTTTTCTACCTGTTACATTGCAGAATACCTTTGTGCTCATTATTTCTTAGGGAGAAGGGGAATTTAGGAGCTGACTCCTAGATGAAAGATTGCAGGTTCCCAAAATATAGTTACATGAGCTTCTCTCCTAGCTGCCTAAGGATCCCAGTCCCATGCCAGAAAGTCTGTTCAGAAGAATATAGGCAGACAGATATATTCACAGATGTGTGGGCTGTTAAAACGCAATATTCTCAGTAATAAAGTATGAAGTATTGATACATTAAGGCAAGGCTATAACTTTCAGTGGCATAAGCAAGTTCCAGTATTCCAGTAAGCTTTTAAAGAGTCCTCATCCCATGATCATTTTTTAAAGAGATCTGCATTTGTGCTTAAGACTATCAAGCTTGCTTAACCCTGTGCTTGGCTTCCAAAGATCATTAAAACCAAAGACAGAATTACTGTAAGATGGTGAAAGAGATAAATAAATAAATCTGAAGCAAATCTATTTGCAGAGGTCCAAAGTTTTTTTAATTCAGATCATGTCTGATAACTTTATGTACACTCTAGTAATTTGGCTGGTAATGTGCTAAGCAGAGAGCCTATATACTTTCTATGAATAGATTTGGTGGCACACATTTGAGGAATGGGAAACTAAATCTTATTTTTATTATGACAGTGTGGTCCTTGATTTTTGTTGTTTGGCACAAGCTAATTAGGGTGTTTAGAATGGCTAGCTACTCAGTCAATGAGCTTGCTGGTTGGTGTGAAAGAATGTAAGATTGCCACAAAGCCGTTCCCATCTATAGTGTAGATAGGCCTGGCCTGAGACACTTTGATATTCACAGCAAAATATTACAATGTTCCCTTTGCTCGGAATGGTGTTCTGATAGTTGGCTATCATTTGTTGACCCTCTGCCAAAGCCTTCCAGTCATCTTAGCTGATTGTTCACTGCCAGAGTTCCAAATCCCTCTTCTCCTTTGTGCTTCTGTCAGAAAGTTAGCTACCAGACTAGCCACTGGCAACTCTGTTTGGTTCACTGGATCCCAGGTTGGACTACCCTTATCAAGTAGGCATGAATTGATGTTAATGTGGGAGATGATCTGTTGCAGAGGGCAAGATATGGATAGGGGACACCAGAAGCCTATGGGAAGGGTAGGCAACAGATAGTTTGCGGAAAGTCTGGGACTGGGCTGACTGAATTTAAGAAGGGTTGTTTTTTTTTTAAATAGAACTCACTAGTTATCAGAACTGTTGCGAACCAACTGGACTTTGAGAGGTCTTTAAAGAAATAGGGAAAGATGGGAAATTTATACTGTTTCTTGAACCTTCTGTGTGGAATGGTACATGACAGTCTTTCCATTAATTATGATGCCCACTCATACCATGACCTTGACTCAACAGAGTCTTTTTCTGCCCTTTTCCATGACTTATCATTAGTTGTTGCTTACACCATTAGATTCGTAGTTCTTTTTTTTTTTTTTTGTCATTACCTTTCTGAGCACCAGACATAAGTGCTCCAAGCTGGTAACAGAGGCAGAATTTTTCATCTGGTACTTCTCCCATACAAGGACCTCCTCAGGACTTAATAAATAGTAAAACCATTCTGCCTCTAGATTGACTTTTGTGCTATCTTATGACTAGTAAAAATTCCTTGCGACTGGATGTTATGATGCCATTCTGGTTTTATTAGCATTACACTGACTTAACTTGGCAAACATAGTTTTGCCGGATGCCATCATAATTTTAGAATTGATTTTTTCAACAATTAAATGTTCCTTAAATTGTGCATATGTGCCTGCCTTGTCATGTACCAAAAGATTTCTCCAATCTGATCTTGTTATTCTTAATTGGGTTAGTTCCAGTTTTTTGATCCATTTAGAGTCCAATAATGCTAGTTGCATTAACAGACGTCAACTAGTGCAACAGTACTTTTACCCCCTCTCCTCCCTCTTGCACTCTAAAATCTGACCAGAGGGTTTTGGAATGCTCCAGGAAGAAAAGACAGGGACTCACCCCCTATTATTCTGATGGAACTGTTTCTATCTGTGGAATCATACTGTTGAATGCAATCCGTTATGTGTAATAGAAAGAAAAGAAACCTACCCACATCTTCTTATAACTAGAATAATCGGGAAGGGCTGAGACTCTGGTGGAACACAGCCTTTGCGTGCAAAAATTCCTAAGCTCAATGCCAGATCGGGCTGGGAGGTTCCCTGGCTGAAATCCTGGAGAAATCCTGTTAGTGTAGACTGCTCTTAGCTGGACAGACCAATGATATTCCTTGGCATAAGGCAGTTCCCTAACTATTATGTGCACCATGCCACTCAGTTATATTAAGGAAAATGATGAAGGCCGTAGTAGGGCACAAGAAAGCAAAGACTGCAATGTCCAAGGTGTAATCTGATTTTCTACGTTATGTATGTTATCAAGTTTAATTGATTATAACTTCTGAGAAATTACCAATTTAATAGAATTTCTTTTAAATAACTCTAGGTAGTCATTTGAAACTGTACAGCAGCTCTGAGTAGCTATATTTGAAAGTGTGCTGGCAAAATATTTATTTGAGGTAGGTATTCTTTGAGCCATGCTCTGAGGCATGGTCTTTGTCAAAGAGAGATGTGAAATACAACATGACTTGTAGGAAGTGTTAAAACATACACTCTTAAGTGATTATAATATTTATAATTTTTGAGTCTTTCCAAATAATTGAGAACCAGACATTGGATTTCAGGAATCTGTTTGTGGTGCTTTAATTGTAAACTGATGATAAACAGGAGATACTATTTTCACTGATGATTGATTAAATGTAGAGACAATTTTAAGAGTCAATTACATTTTTAGGAAGTATAGGAAGATCTAGAGTGACGAGTGATCTGAATGTGTATGCCTAAATATGTGCAGGTTGTGACCTTTAAAGCCTTAATCAGTGTATGGTCTGACATGTCTGAAAGACTGGCTTCAACCACTGTATCCTTTGCAGTATCTGCAAGCCAATTTATACATTCATGAAAAGAACAGGGTTTAACTCCCTTGCAAGTCCTCCACATTAGAATGCAATGTACCTGGAGCCCTCCAGAGGTTTTTGATTACAACTTCCATCAGGCACACCCAGTCAGGAACGATGGGAATTACTGTCTAAAACTTCTAGAGGGCACCAGAATGGGGAGGACTGGATCACATCATTTAATGAAAAAACATTGCAAAATCATCAGCAAAAATAGTGGTGCTTCAGATACATATTTTAGTTATGATTCAAGATAATCATGTTCAGCTAACAGTGGTGGAGGCAACATTTAATGGCAGGCTAGATATGCCCTGTAGCACTACTTGTTAAATCCATCATCAGGTTAGCAGTTGCCTGTTTGATGGGACTTTCTCCCATTCTTCTCATTGCTACTTACAGTACTCTATATCATCTGAACATTTGTTCCAGAGAATTTTCTAGCCCTTTGGAGCAGATTTTGATGATGCTCAGGGGGATATGGGAGGTAGGAGAATTGCCCCTCCCAGTACTGCTGGTGGAACTGCTTCCGTCAGCAGATTGACACTACTGGATACAACTCTTTA